CAAGCTTGAGCAAGGGTAGAGATAAAGGCAGAGGGGGCTTTTTAAAGGTAAATTTCCAATTCTTATTGACAAGCGCTTGTGGTGCAGTGGCTACGCGCTTGGCTGCCAATCAGAAGGTCAACGGTCTGAATCCGCTAGGTACTTTGCTGGCAAAATATGTGGCTATCCGCTTCCATCATAGGCACAGCCTCAGAAATCACATGCCGCAGCTCTACCGTGTCCTGAGTTGCGATGATTCCGAAGGAAGTCTATGGCAGTAGGTTTTGCCCTTTGGTTTTGGGTAGAGATAAACTATGATTTGGGGGAGTAGCAAATGCCAGCACAACTCTGGAAAATGTTATTTCAAATGTAGCATTCGTCTGGATTGATTTACTGGATAGATGTTTTATATTTGCTATATCTGATTTATCACAAAGGGTTTCTATTAAATAGCTGTTCTGGGAATGGATAAGAGATTGTCACCAGCAATTAGGCTGTTGGAGTACTTTGAGAACATATTGGGAAATAATTTCTGGTGAGAGAATAAAACTTTGCAATTCAACCTAAAACAATATGATCCATAATAATCTCTGTTCCATGGATGAAAGAAAGAAAAAGTTATGGGAGGGCCAGGCAACTTATCCTTCGGTTGTACTTATAGGGCAGCTGTGAGTCAGAAATGATTCGATGGCATTCCGCAGCAAATCTGACGGTGACCATCAGGGATATATTACCAACTTAATTGCCTCCCATTATGTTTGATCGTTTTCTTAAAAATAGTAAGACAGGTCACAGCAAGTTTAAAATTATAAATAATTCCTCTTGGCCATTGGTGGAAAATTGCTATTTGGTTGTGTAATTCTACACATATGTGTCGCCATAAAAATCATATTAATAATTAAAGTTAAAAACACCAAACTGTCATTTGATTCTAAATGATCTTAATTAACCAGTCACAAAAACAATAAGTTGGGCATGGTAATGGAGAAGATTGTCAAATGCTTTCAATATCTTTTGTTCTGTTACATTGAAAAGTGAGGAAAGCACATTGGAATCGGGAAATCTATGTTGGATGCACACACACACACACACACACACACACACACCTATCGTCAAGTCTATTCATATTTCTAGTGACCCGATATTGCTTTCTGTGTCTGTCAATCTGTGTGGGAGCCGACAGCTCCTCTTGCTCCCTGGGAGCAGCAGGTGGTTTGAATTGCCCAAGTCAAGGCACCACCAGCGCCCCTGTGGGGATCACAAATTCTCTCTAGTCTGAATACTTGATGAAGTCCATAAAAAGGATCTTAGGTTATTGAGCAATTTTCAGCAGAACCTGAAGTAAATATAAGATGTTTGCAAGTGTTTGGGTCAACAACACATTTATACATATCAGGATAGAAATGATCAGACATCCCATCACCAGATGTCAGCCCTAGGACATACCAGTATGAATTTAGCCATAAATGAAGTTGGTGTATGAAAACCCTGTTAATTCATCTCAGCATGGAGCATTGAAATATATATATAAGAGGTCTTCTATAAGGTCATGAAAATGAGTAGTATGAAAAAAATTTGTATGAATTTCAAAAATTTTTGAACCAACATAATAACTTATAATAACTCTTAGTAACTTATAATATCATGTCTGAACAGAATCTAGTTTGAGACAGTAAAAAGGATAAGGCATACATTTGAAAAGACCCTCTCTGATAGAAACATGAACTCTGCTAAAATTGTAACAAGAACAACAACAAATTATGGTGCAATTTTGATGTAAGAATGGTAAAATTATTGATACTCAATAAAAAATTCATGGGGATAATGCTCCAAAGAAATGAGTTGCTTACAGCTGAGTAACTTATTTTTTGCTTGTTTTAAATGTTTGGTCATTTAATTGGGAGCGCTTACAGATATCATAACATTCCATAGTTCAATCACCTCAAGCAGGATTGTACAGTTGCTACCACATTAGTTTCAAAACATTTTCTTTCTTCATGAACTCCTTGATATTACTTCCCCTTTATCCCCTCACTCCCCCTACCCGCCCAGGAACACTTATTTATTTTTCCCCTGGGATAGGTTTTTATTTGGGGGGGAGATATCTTAAATATCCATTCACATACAATTCTGTTGTTTGATCCCATCAAGTTATACAATCATCAATGCTATCAGCTCCCTCATTCCCTCATTCCCCAAACCCTCTCTTCCTGTACCCTCAGGGAGCCATTACTCCTGTGAGTAACTCATTTTAAGAAAGGAAGGGGAGATGTTGAAAATGAAGCCTGTAACAGCAGACTATCCACATCGATTTGTGAAGAAAAAGTAATCTGTTCCTTGCCTAATGAAGAGGACAAACGGTTAACATCAGAAACAATAGCTAAGATGTAAACATCTCAATTGGTTCAGCTTATACAATTCTCCCTGAAAGATTAAAATTGACCAAACTTTATGCCTGATGGGTGCCAAAACTGTTGCACCCAGATGAACTGCAGACAAGAACAGCGCTTTCTGTGAAAATTTCCAAGTAGGATCGATATCCTGATGGATTTATTAAGAAAATGGTAACAGGAGATGAAACATGATGTTACTAGTGATCATGACGATAAAGCACAATCAAGTAATGTCTAACAACAGGTGGAAACAGTCCAACCCAGCAAAAGCAGGTGGATCATGAGCAAAGGTCATGGTCACAGTGTTTGGGCACCCTGAGGACATGCTGCTCGTTGACTTTCTAGAAGACCAAAGAATGAGAGCATCTACTTATTTGTGGGATTATTTTGAGAAAATTAGCCAAAAATTTACCAGGAAAACCAGAATGCTTTCAGCAGAAAGTCCTTCTCCACCATGACAATATTCCTGCTCATTCATTTGGTCAAACATGGGCAATGTCGTGAAAACTTTGATGGGAAATATTTAGGCTTTCATCATACAGTTCGGATTCAATTCCTTCTGGTGCTGTTTCCTAATCTTCATATATATATTTAAAAGGCACCATTTTTCTTCTGATAATAATGTGAAAAGGCTGCATTGGCAAAGTTGAATTCCCAGGACCCTCAGCTCTTTGGGTATAGACTAAATGGTCAGTATCATGACTAACAAAAGTTGTGTGTTTTTATTTTATTTTCACTTTGATGGAGCTTATGTCAAGAAATAAAATGTAGATATATGTGTCTCTGTGTGTATGAAGCTTATGTAAAGTTTATATATATAAAGTATACATATATAATAAGATATGTATATTTATATATAAAAGTATATATAATACATAAGGCATACATATACTTTATATCTATATAATTTTGCAGGTGTATATATCATCACATAAATATTTCATTATATACAGATATTTTCATCTTTGTATATACTAATTTAAAATTATATCTATATAGTTTTTAATCTTCTAATTCAATTTTCTCACAAACGTTTGAAGCTCTCTCATAATATTCATGTTAGCCTGCAAGGTTGAACAAAATTTTGGTGGCCCTGCATGGAAGAAATTGTCTCCTACAAAATTATGAGAGTCTGCAATGTTATAAATTACCTTTATGGTTGGTTCTAGACACAGCCTTTGTTACGCCCATCAAATAATCTTTGTTTTTCTGTTAAAAATCAAGTGATTGTGAACATTGTGTATAAGTCTTTGGATGGACATATTCTTCCAAATTTTGCCCAAATTTGAAAAATCTTGTCTGTTTTTGGAGACACTATTTTTATCTTCAAAATGGAAAGCATGTTAAATGGTGTCAGTAATTATATTAAAGAGCTCCCCTTCACATATTAAAGATGCTTTGAATTGGTTCAAAAATCTTGTCTGTTTTTGGAGACACTATTTTTATCTTCAAAATGGAAAACATGTTAAATGGTGTCAGTAATTATATTAAAGAGCTCCCCTTCACATATTAAAGATGCTTTGAATTGGTTCAAAAATTTTAAAGGCAATTTGACAATGCTATCAAAAAATTAAACTGTTTATCTTTTGTTCCAGAAGTTCTCCATAATTTATTCTGATATTTGGAAGATGCTTACTCTCTATGCACCTCTGCATCTCATGGATGGAAAGAGGATAATAATTATTTAATCTGTATGGTTATAGTGAGCATTAAGTGAATTTATTCAAGGAAAATGTTCCTGAACAAAAAAATTCTCCCTAATTTTATTATTTTAAAAAATTGTTAGTTCAAGGAATAGATTCTTCAGAAATATGTTGTCAAATAAGTAAAGAATGTATGTTTAAACATGTCTATGACAATGATATTTCTTACATAAAATTGGAAATAACCTATGTGTCCATCTATAATAAGAGATGGTTGGGTAAATTTGGGTACGTCTCTGAAAGACAGTTTAGAAAAATGACTGATGTGAGCATTTGAGAAGAGACGGGCTGATTCCCAGTCCTATCTCTGAAGGTATTAGCTGTGCACCTTGGTGATATTTCCTAACCCTACTAGTGTGTCTCAGTTTTCTCAACTGTAAAAATGGGAATAATAGTTGTACCCACAGAATTGGTGTTTTTGTGAGAAACCAAAGAGCTATTACATGTAAATTTTATAGAAACAAAACCAAAAATTTCTCATCTTGAACATCCGACAAATCTTCAAACTACCATGGGATGTTATGTATCCTTTTTAATAGCAGAGGCAAATCATTATGTAAAACAGTGAAAGGACACTCACTAGAGAAAGAATTTATGTTTTTCGTGTATAATTTCCAAAATAGGAACAAGCAGGTGATTCAATGATGCATCTTTGTTTCTCTTTTTAGTTATCAAGTCAGTTCGGACACATAGCGACCTTATGAGGTATCCTATAGACTTAGATTAAAATGTTCAAACATTTGTCGATTACTATTTCATTTACCAATTAAAGGCAGAAAAAAATAAGAGTTAAATACATTTGAAGTTTCTCATTCAACTTCCTTAATTCTGAATACACGTGAAAATTGCAATATATAAGAGTTAACATTTAAAACATCAACTTAAGAAGGAGAGAATAAAAATAAAAGTTAAAAAAACACACTTCTAAGTCTTTGAGTTGTTTATTTAAATCTATGAACTTAAATCTATGAACGCATTATCTACTCATACATATTGGCACAGGAAAGCTAAATGCTTTATTAGAAAAACTGCTGCAATTGACAATATTGTGGGATTGCCCCTTCTGAGATCATTTTAGAGAGAAATGAGTGAAAATGACAAAAGTATAACAGGCTAATCAATGTACTTTGTTTTGTGTGCCATCCAATCTTTTCAGGTAGAAGAAGAACTCTATCATAAACCGATAGATTTTCAAATCTTTCTTTTGAAATAAACAACCTTACAGCGTTAGTCGGTTAAACAAAGAGGTTGAGTTCACTTTTGTATAGACACCCAAAAACACAGCAGATGTGCATACAGAGATCAATAACAAAGTCCTGCCACATTCTCGGTCCAGGTGACCACCTGTCTTCCATACTAACTTCCTTATGCTTAGGTGCGGTATAACAAGTAACCGCTAAAGGTAGTAACAGGGGGGAATTTGACTGGAATTGTCCCTTTCACAAGTCGCAGCCACACTTCCTGTCCAAAATTTAATTCCAAGAGAGCATCCCCCGTCAAAACCCTATCACAGTGTACTTCACTGTTCACATTCTCAGACTCAAACGTAAGCTTGTCTACTCCATCAACCACTAAAAACCCAGAGACATGAGCACTGAAGGACTCAATGGTATACTTGAAAACATACACGCCGAGGTAGGGAATTCTGAATTTCCCGGTGCTTGGGGTATAGGATGCACCGTAATTGACATCCAAGTTATTGAACAGGATTGGACCCGCTGTAGTCATTCCATGTGTATGAGATGCAAAAAATGCTACCATTGGTGCATATCTGTAAGATCCTTTGGAAAAATCTGTTAAAAAACAAACAGGAAAGAGTTAATTCTCTCACTTTTACTGTTTCTCCATTTCTTTATCTTCCTATCACAATGACAGGAAATGTTACCAAAAGCCATCAGATTTAACAAGAACACATGTGTCTGGATGCCTGCCTCTTAGCCTGGCCGAGTTATACTGACTCCCATAGCCTCACGGAGCCTCCGTTTTTTTCAGGACTGAGTGAAAATAACACCAGATACCGCCCTCAGAGAAATGTCTCAAAGATTAATTTGCATGTATCTTTGATCTCCCCAGAGCTAAAGGAATTCAGAGGCACTATGATTATGATGGTATGCCAGAATGCTTTAAAGCCCCTTGAAGGAATCGAAGCTGACATGATGTAGAAACAATTTCCCAGCATCTTGTCAAAGAGTTTCTAGAGGCTAAACCAGAAGCCAAATGAAGGCATGTGCACTATGATGAAGGAGACAAAAGCAATTCTCCATGTAATTAATGCCAAGTGTACTGACAAAGGCTCCGGTTTAAAAACAGACCAAAGGAATTTCTTTTTCACCAGGCAGCCTATTATTAAGAAAAACTTGATTGCAAATACTCATATATTTTTATGTCATTAAATCAATATATTTTTAAAACTATATATATTTTCTTTCATAAAAACTAGCAATGGTATGCACCCATCTTTTATTGTGGTGCAAATAAGCAACAACCCAAAATACCTGCCAATTCAGTAATTTGTACATATGGAACTCAGGGATACTGCTTACACTCACCGTGTGAAACCATTCTTGCCATACCTATCCAAATTATTAACCAAAAAGGATATGCAGTTCAATTAAATCTAATATACCCAATGCTATCTGAACCTAAATGGACAAAATCGGCACTTTTTTCTTTTTACTTGATACAATCGAGTAAATCCTGATGGCCTCACTCCAGCCAAATTGGCAAGATTTGTTTACCCTTCCAGAAAAGCAGACCCATAAGTACATACTAAAGTTTAATTTAATTGAGTATATCTAAGACGAATCAAAGATTTATTGATTGATCAACTTCTCTGAGGAAAAAAAGTTTACAGTAATCAAATATATACATCTCTCTCTATATATATATTTATTTATATATAACATAGGTCTATATTTTCTTGATGGGACCCCTGGTGGTTCTAGCTCCTTGGAAACTGGTAAGGGCCTTTTTCCTCTGTTCTGAGGGGTCACTATTTATCAGAAATGGCTGGACAGAAATGGGGCATTTGCTTTCTATTAAGACATATGGCAGAAATTAAGAGATAGGACTAGTATTTTCAATAAACTGCCTATATTATATTAGCAGTGAAAATGTTAACAAGTGCATGTAAACTGTTATTTGCCCGGCCAAAATGCATTTCCATTTGTAAATGGACATGTTGAATTATTCAAAACATTTCAGAAGTAAAAGGAATTAGCTTGTAAGTAAATGAATCTACATTAAGCAGGCTTAAATGTTCATTGATACATATTTTTTT